AAAAAAAAAAAAAAAGGAGAGGAAAGAAGGAAGGAAGGAAGGAAGGAAGGAAGGAAGGAAGGAAGGAAGGAAGGAAGGAAGGAAACACTGGTGAATTAGAGAGCTTGCTGCCAAACCTAAGGCCATGAGTTCAATTCCCTAGACCCACATAGTGGAAGGAAGGAGAGACCTGACTCCTGAAAATTGTCCTGTGATCCCCCCCCCCCACTTGCATGCTGCAGCATATGCAAATACAGAGCTCTCTGTGGGAGGGGGGAATAGATACATTTAAAAAATAGATTAATAATAAACAAGTTCATCTAATGGTTTTAAAAAATAGATTAATAATAAACAAGTTCATTTAATGATTTTAAAAAGTCCATTTAAAAATCCACCTTTGGGCCAGGCATTGTGGCCGTACACCTTTAATCCCAGCACTCAGGAGCCAGAAGCAGGCGGATCTCTGTGCTCTAGGCCAGCCTGGTCTACAGAGCGAGCTCCAGGACAGCCAGGGCTACAGGAAGAAACCCTGTCTCATAAAATAAAAGCCACCTTGGATGACTCTCTAGGTCCAGCATCTCCTAATTCTTTCAAGAGTTTGGGGAACTGAGGCTGAGAGGGAATTGGGAACAGATGGAGGTCATCGGAGTGATTTGCAAGGCTTTCAGCAGGGTGTGGGTACTTTACATAGCTAGCCTGGGAGGCCCTGGGCCTTCAGGAGTTCACTTGAGTCCATGCCTGAATAACAATATGAGGGACTCCGGAGCTCAGCCTCTGAATTCACTCAGCAGGACACTACGTAGTGGCCTTAACCTACAGGAGCTTGGGTGGGTGGGTGGAGGGAGGGGGACGACGGACGGATGGACGGACAGAGGGGACAGTCAACAAGCAGTTCTCCTGCTGTGAGGCTGTGGTGGGTGCCGGGAAGAAAAGAGAAACTCATAAATGATTGAGGCGGGGCAGTCAGGGTGTCAATGCCACCTCCAACAGTGCTCAGAGAAAATTCTTATCTGAGGGAAATTTCAGAGCCCCCCCCCCCCTTTGAGAGAGAGGCAGAGAGGGCTGCTGGCCATTTATTTGGTTTGAATGGGTAGCCTGGGACTTGGAAGAAAGCAGAGGTAGATGGTTTATCATTCTGTTTAGCCTCAAACCCTCCAGGCCCCTGGTACCAGGAGAAGTCACCAGAAGACCCTTCTGGGTGTGCCCCCCCCAGGTTCCTGCCCCACTCCCCTGAGTGCTCAGGGCTCTCCTCAGCCCCTCACAAACCTCAGATCTTCACATTTATTTACTGAGACAAGATCTCCCTAGGTGGTGGTATCCCAGTTGGCCTGGAACGCCTAGGCAATCCTCCTGCCTCTGATTCTGGAGTGGTGCATTGGGGTTACAGAGTGTGCCACCACCAAAAAGCAGCTTTATTTTATTTTATTTTTTTACCGGGGCAGTGGTGGTGCACAACTTTAATCCCAGCACTCAGGAAGCAGAGGCAGGTGGATCTCAGTGAGTTCGAGGCCAGTCTGGTCTACAAAGCAAGTTCCAGGACAGCCAGGGCTACACAGAGAAACCCTGTCTTGAAAAACCAAAGAAAAATAAATAGAAATTTAAATTATTTATTTATTTATTTTTTTGGCAGGGTCTCATGCAGCCCAAACTTGTCTCAAGCTCCCTATGTAGCTGACTGAAGCGGGCTTTGGACTGCTGCTCCTGCTTCCACATTTCATATGCTGAGATTGCCGATTTGCAGTGGCTACCACTGCGCGCCCAAGTCTCCATTCTGCCCTGCTTGCTCAGTCCTGGTACAGGGGAGAAAACTGAAGCCCTTTGGGGGGGGGGTTGGGTAACCCTGCCCTCTTTCCAGCTTGATTTCTGCCTCACTTATCAGCACATACGGCACTCCATATACTCTGGAACAGCCCCAGCTGGCCTTGAATGTGTGGTTCTCAGCCTCCTGGGTAGCTGGGCTTACCAGAAGGCACGGGGGTAGTGGTGGAGGTAGGCTCCATGTTACACAGTCATCTGTGGTGTCCTGCTCCCTCACGCTGCGCCCCCCCCCCATCTCCATGTTATAAGGATTATGAAATGGTTTCTTTCACTGCTGATACTGTAGGTGCTCAGGAAATGGGGTGGCCAAGTCTGGAGATGTAGCCCAGTGGCTAGGGTGCTTGCCTAGAAGGCAAGTTCTGGGTTCGATGCCCAGCACCACATAAAATGGGTGGTGTAGCGATGTACCCCTGTAAACCCAGCGCTGGAGAGGTGGAGGCCAGATCAAAAGGTCGAAGCTTACTTAGCCCATTCGGGGTCAGCTTGTCTTAGAGATCTGTCTTGAGACCTGTCTTAGAGAAAAATACAAAAAAATTAAAAAGAAAAAAGAAAAGAAAAAGATGAAGGTTTAAAGGGCGAAATTTTCTGAGGATACTTCCCGTCTCGTAAGAGATGCCCACCACTTCTCCCTTTGGGTAGGAGGCGCGACATCCCGAGCCTCAGGTATCACCAGCGCTATGGTGGGTTTGGGAACAATTCTTTCCACTTCCCCGGGTGAAATCGACTCCAGGGGCACAGTTTGCGCACTCATCCCGGGGCAGCGGGCCAGGAGGTCGGGTTTGGCCGCGGCGACTGGCCTCGCAAGACCCCGCCCCCAATGGGCGGAGCCACGGCAGGACCAGCACGTGTAAAAAGTTCGGCGCGGGTCTCCGCAGGCCACTCACCTGAGCGTCCGGCCGCCGAGCGGGTAGTCTGCTCCTGCGCCATCGCCCCATGTCCCGCCGCAAGGCCGGCTGCGTGCCGCGCCGTGTAGACCCGGAGCCCGACGGAGACGACATGGAGACGCCCGAGCTCGTCATTGATGTGAAGCCAGAGCACGACGCGGGGGCCTTGGCCCGGGGGCTCTGGTCCCCGAAGGACGTGTCCATGCCGAGGTTCCTCGGTACCGAGCGTCGCCTCGGCACCGACCCGCGTCCCCTCGGCGCACGCAGCCCGTGTGCCCCGTGGATACCGCTGAGCCCCGAACCTTCCGGTGAGTCCCCAGTCTTCGGCCCTGTGCGCATCGGGACCCTCGGGTGGATGCCTCTCTGCTCCGGGGCCCGCCTGGCGTCCCCAGCCCTCGCCCCTGCCTGTACCGGGAACCTCTGCTGGTGCCTCTCTGCCCCGGAACCGGTCTGGGGTCCCCAGCCCTCGCTCCTGCGTGCACCGGGACCCTCCGGTGGGTGCCTCTCCCCTGGGGATGGCCCCGGGACGGCCTGGCCTCCCCAGCCTTCGCCTCTGACCTCCGGGTTTCCCCTCTCCACCTTGGAACCCTTACTCACTCCTAGCCGGGCTCCACCCCACCGCTCACCACCCGCTTCCTCCCTGCAGACCGCCAGCCCTGGACCGACAAGCACCCAGATCTGTTGACCTGCGGCCGCTGCCTGCAGACTTTCCCATTGGAGGCCATCATCGCTTTCATGGACCACAAGAAACTGGGCTGTCAGCTCCTCCAAGGCGTCGGCCCCATTTCAGGTAAGTAATTCCGAGGGTAGTGACCACCTCTGATCCAGGGTTGGGCTTCCTGCCCTTCGGAGAGGGAGCTAAGGTGGACAGATGGGGCACCGAACATTACTTCCCCTTTTCCCCCTTAGGGTAGAACCTAGGCGTGGCCTTGGCTTGCCTGTCCTAGGGCAGGGACTAGAGGTAGGGCGGGGGCTGGGTAGCGGAGGAAGGCCACCCACAAGGTGTGGCCAAGCCCAGAAAACTGGCCCGGGGTTTTGCCATACACCCTCAATTTAGTTTCACTTCTTCTTCCCCACGGACAGAAATAACTGGCCAGGTGGCTGGACCAGGGTTGTTAGTACAGGGACATGGAGGAGGTGGGGACAGTGGCCTCAGGGAGAGTCGGAGGCCCGCAGGAACGGATTTTATCACCCCTGCTGTGTTTGGATCTTTCTAATCAGACAGTTCAGACAGGGACCGGGGCTTCTGGCGCGTTCCTTTGCTGGGATCTCCCGGCTGAGTGCTGGGAAGCCCCTGGTTGGGGTGCTGGACACTCGTATATGGAGGAATTAAAACTCCAACTGGTGCTTGGTCCATGGAGTGAACTCCTGTTGGCTACAGGATTTAGGGACTTGATCGGAACTTGAATTCCCAGCCCCCAGCTCGCGCGGTGCTCCGTTGGGACTTGGGAAATAGAATTATATTTAGGGCTGGGCCAGGGTGGTCTATAGTTCAATCAGCTTTAGTTGAGGGAGGGGCTGAGATGGATTTAACCTGAGTAACTGAGCACTCCAGGACTGACTCGTAGGCAGTGTCTGGAGAGTTACCGCTGGGTTTAACATTTTAGACAGGGGTTCATCCTTGCCTAGGCAGCTGGTATTACTGGTATTGCAGGCCTGGATAGTCAGTTGTGGGTACTTTTTTTTCGTTGTTTTGAGACAGGGTCTTTAAGTAGCCCTGGCTGTCCTGGAACTCTCTGTAGACCAGGCTGGCCTCCTGTTGCTGGGGGTTGAAGGTGTGGGACACTCCTGGCTCAGCTGTGGGTATTTTGGTATCTGATGTTTGAGGGCTTGTAGGGACCAAAACTCTCAGCTGTTCCCTATTTGAGGTCACAACCCTGGAAGGGGCCCCTCAGATTCCCATACTCTATCAGCTTAGGAAACTGAGGCATGGGAGGATGTCTTGTCCAGGATCACACAGCTGGAGGAAGGGTCTTGAGTTGGATGGGTTGGTTTCTGCTTGGCTTTGGCCTGGACTGACTGTCTGGGGTTTGGCGGCTCAGGGAAGTGTCCTGTAGTTGTGCCGTGGGTCTAGAGAAAATGCCAAACTTGGAATCCAGACACTAGCCGACCTGCCTGGCCTGTCTGTGCCAGGCCCCAGCCCTGAGGTTTCGTGGTAAAATCTGCCCCCCATCCGATTCTCCGGTGCCTTGCTGACCTCCCCTTTCTCTGGAACAGCAGGCCCTCTTCAGTTGAGGCCAGCACTGATTCTCTGCCCCTTCTTCCCCTTTCCAGAATCCAAGGAGCTGAAGACTCTGAGTTGCCTGCGATGTGGCAGGCAGTTCAGCGAAGCCTGGAAGCTGCTACGCCATGCTCAGTGGGATCATGGGCTATCCATCTACCAGACCGAATCAGAGACCCCGGAGTCCCCACTGCTGGGCCTGGCTGAGGTAGCCGCGGCCGTATCGGCAGTGGCGGTGGTAGCGCCAGTTGAGGACAAGCCCCCCCCAGTGAGCAGTGCCGCCCGGCGAAGCCCCACCTGCTTGGTGTGCAAGAAGACCCTCAGCTCCTTCAGCAACCTCAAGGTCCATATGCGTTCCCACACTGGTGAGCGGCCCTACGCCTGTGACCAGTGTCCCTACGCCTGTGCCCAGAGCAGCAAGCTCAACAGGCACAAGAAGACCCACAAGCAGCAGACGTCTGGGAGCCCCTGCACCCCTGCCGGTGGCAGGGGTGTCTCCCCAGCAGCCCCTCCAGAGCCAGCTGACCATGCAGCTGTTCCAGCCAGCACCCTCCCACTCCAGGAGGTAGAGAAGGCTGGAGCCGCAGCCACAGCAGGAGTCCAGGAACCCGGGGCCCCTGGCAGTGGCGCTCAAGCAGGCCCAGGTGTTGTTGACTGGGGACCAAAGTTGACTGTTAGCAAAGTACAAAGGACTGACCCTATAAAGAGTGAGAAGACAACCAGGAAGACCCCCAAGTCGACCGGCGGCAAGAGCCGCGGGCCTGGGAGCAGCTGTGAGTTCTGCGGGAAGTACTTTGCCAACAGCAGCAACCTGGTGGTCCACCGGCGTTCCCACACTGGTGAGCGGCCCTACGCCTGTGACCAGTGTCCCTACGCCTGTGCCCAGAGCAGCAAGCTCAACCGCCACCGCCGCATGCATGGTCTGGGGCCTGGCAAAACCCGCTATGAGTGCCCACACTGCTGTGTGCCATTTGGCCTACGGGCCACACTGGACAAGCACCTGTGGCAGAGCCACCCAGAGATGGCCTGAGAGCAGTTCTGTCACCTCCTTAGCCTTCCTTTTGTGTGAATAAACCATCTTCTATTTATTCGTGTGCCTGGACTCTCGCTTTCTTGGGGTGTCTGAGGTGGGAGGCTCCCCCTCCAGAGTGTGGCTGGCTGGACAGACCGGTTTGGAGTGGGGGTGAGTGCCCTGGGCACTGGAGGACTGGCACAGAAAGCCGTGCTCCCGGTTCTTGGTGTGGGTGAGGCCAGGGGCCGGGCAAGGGCAGGGAGAGGCCTGGACCTGTCACCAGAGGCCCCTGGGCTCAGTCCAGTCCTAGCCCGTCATCCCCTGGCCCTGTCCACACATGCCACAGTCTGGGCCCTTGACTGGATTGGCCCCTGCTCCTAGGCAGGCCCCACTCCCCACACCCTGCAGGCTATGCGGCGGCTGCAGTGGTCCTCAGCTGCACCTAGCCTGGAGTCCTACAGTGCTCAGGACAGCAGGCAGTGAAGGGCATTAAATAATGTTAGCTTTTATTTCACTACAGAAACCAGGATCATCACAGCGCCCACTCAGTCCTCCGCCTAATGCCTGTAATGGGGGCTCCGGGACCTGGACCTCGAGCGCCTGCGGAGAAAGGAGACGGCTGTGAGGGTGGGATGCTGGGAACCTCCCTCCCATGCACACAGGCTCCAACATGCCTGCAGAATGGGCCGCTGAGAGGAGTGTCTTCCCTAGGGAACAAGTCCAGCCCCACCAAATGAAGGGGTGTAGGGGAGGAGGGACGGGGGACTGCCGGGAGACTTGGAGGGTCACCTCTGGTAGCAGGGCCAGCAGCCTTACCTCCGAGAAGAACTGTACTCTCGACCTGAAAAGAGAAGGAGGTGATGCCAGCCGGCCTCGCTGGGCCACCTTGGGGCCTGTGCCTCACCCTCACAGGCCACCCCTGCCAGGATTAAGCCCCTCCCCACATTCTCAGCACTGAAGGGACCACTGCAGTCTGTGTGCCTCACTAGGCCTTGGCTAGCCTGAAACTGGCTATGGACACCAGACTAGCCTCAAACTCAGGGATCCTCCCGTCTCTCCCCAGGGCACACCCCACTAACTGGCTGGTTTTGTCATCTGTCCAGTACTTTTTTAGCTAATGAGATGGAGTCCCCCTGTGTAATCCAGGCAGCTCCCAAACACCAAAACAAGTGATCCTCCTGCCTGAGACTCCACAGTGCTGTTTTGTTTTGGTTTTTTGGTGGTGGTGGTGGTGGTGGTGTGTGCGTGCGTGTATGTGTGTGTGTGTCTCGATTTGTAGCCCAGGCTGATCTGAATTTGTCAGTGACTCTCCTGACTGCCAGGTCTCAACTGTTTGCTTCCTCTTTTATTTAGTGCATCATTTCTCCATGTAAGCCGGCCCCCTGCCCTCTGGCCCTGGAGTGCTGGATGGTCCGGGGAGCAGCAGCCCGGCTCTCGCCCCTGGGGACTGTAGGGCCAGTGTGGAAGCACTCACTGTAACGTGGGGAGGGCGAGCGGCTCTGGCGGCTATACTGGCGTTCCCACTCTTCTCTCTCCTTCTCCCGTCGCTCTCGCTCCCTGCAGGGGGAGAGGGGAGGCAACCAACAGGGAGGGGTGAGCACCTGCGGGGCTGGACTGACTGGAAGAGTGTCCTGCCCGCCAGTGACTAGCAGTGCACACTGAGGCGCAGACAGGGGTGAGGCAGCGAATGGCAGAGACGGCAGCAGAGCCAACGTAACCAGTCCCAAAACTCCTGGGTTTTGTCTGTGTAGCCCAGTCACCCCCACCCCCACCCCTGACAGCAGCCTCTGAAGCTGGAAGGAGAGTCCTGACGTCTGGAAGTTGTCCTCTGCTATCTATGCACACGCCATGGCATGTGCCCTGGCTGGCTCTCCCTCCGCCCTCCTTCCCTCTCCTCTCACAGCAAGCCAGGCATGGTGTTTCATGCCTGTAATCCTGGCACTGGGGAAGATGAAGCAGGAGGATTGCCATGAATTCAAAGGTAACCTGAGCTACAAAGTGAGTTCCAGGCCACCTAGAGCTATGGTGTTAAACCCTTTGTAGCCCTGGCCGTCCTGGATCTCGCTCTGTAGACCAGGCTGGCCTTGAACTCAGAGATCCGCCTGCCTCTGCCTCCCGAGTGCTGGGATTAAAGGCGTGCACCACCACGGCCAACATAACACATGTTTTTAAGAACTAATAAAGCAGGGCAGCAGCAGCCCTCCTGCAGCCCAGGTGGCCCACATGCCTAACTACAGAGCCAGGGGCCATTCCCACCATGGCCCACAGAGAAAGGAAGGCAACCCAGCTCAGAGAGCGAAATGTTAGCTCCCTCTCCCAGCACACCCCAGAAAGAACTGACAGGCTCAGGCCACCATCCCTGCCCGCCTGGCCCTCCTTTCCCTTACAGGCTTCCCCTAAAGGCCCTAGACAACCTGAGGACTCCAGGTACTGATCCTAGCTGCCTAGTGTGGTGGGCACTGAGGGGCTGACCCACTTCAGGCTCCAAGAGGATGCCACCTGATCAGAGAGACCTAAGACAGCTGGAACTAAACCCCACGCCTAGAATCCAGGCCCAGGACTCTGACCACAGCCCAACATATAATGCAGAAAAAGAAAGGAGAAAGGAAAAGCCGCCCCGCCTAAGAGACCCACCATGGGGTGGGCTTTACTCCACCACTGGATAAGCACCCAATACCAAGGACACAGTTGCCAGGCATGGGGATACTGTGCAGACCTGCGTCAGAAGGTGAGGGGCCTAGGGCATCTGGGGAAGGGGGCAGCAATGGCAATGGGCTGGGAACCAATGGGGGGGGGCGCTCCTGCAGCAGGAGGCTGGGTCTACCACAGGTCGGGGCCTTACTTCATTCGGATCTTTCGGGCCATGGCTCGCAATTCATCCTCCCGCTCCTGCAACAGAAACAGCTGTGAGGAGCGGCCCCGCCCCCCACT